TTATTTGGATCGAACTGTGTGACTTTCAGTTTTATTTTGTCCACGATCTCGTTAATTGTTGTAATGTATATTTGATTTTTAATATTTGAAATTCAAAGTACTCGAATTTGGATTCTTACCATTTCAATGTCAGTTGGAGAGAGAGGCACTTATTCTTTTCTTGAAAAATACTTCTTGCCCAGGCTCAAAGCTAGGGCTAAATAAGGGAGGCCAAGTGGCGCCCCCTATTGGAGGGGGGGGGGGGTGAAAATCCAATAGGGGGGCACCACTTGGCCCTCCTATATTTAGCCCTGGCTTTGAGCCTGGGCGTGCAGAACAACTGTCTTTTCTTTCATCATCTCATTGTCAGATATCACATACATGAACTACAAAGATAGAAATGTAGTATTACATTTTACACGTCACATATATTACCAGGCAAAATTTTGCATGTCACATTAATACAATTACATTAATAAAGAGGTAACAATTTCACATGTCACTATTGACATATTTTTGTAAATAATGTAAACTGTAAAATATTTTCATTGGTAAAATTATTGATGATCACATATTACTTTCGTATTTGCTTAGATATCAAGTGGTCATATATACCTTTTAATATGAATCTTATATAGTTCACAATTAACAAGGCAAATATACAGTCACAAAACTGTAGTAAACAATTATTAAAAAATACAAACGAACCTTTATGAATTTCCAAATCCTCAATACCGCGGCATGAAATATGGTGATTATGGTCTTTTGTGACTGGGAAATATGTGAAGGAAACTATGAACCCAAGGAGCCAATATTTATGCTTTTCTTATTCTTAGAAACGTTATATTAGGGAAGGCAATAATCGTAAGGGTAGTTATTATGAGAATTGATTTTTTGATCGTTAGAGAGAAAAGTGGATCTTACCTATAAATGAAGAAAATAAATTCTTGAACCCCTTTCACTCTCATGTCACGTTGAGGTACTACAGAAAAATTGGCGGCTGATCATGTTAAGCAACGGTCAAAAAAATTGATTTTTTGGAATGAAAAATCAAAACCAAACGGGGCTAAGCAAATTCATAGGGAAGGGATATAATTAGTTATCCTTTAATAATCATCAATTCATAACACGTTCTTATCTTATTTAAATCAATTGTAATCTATTTTCATATAAAAAAATTTCTTTATTTATGACATGAATTATGAAAAGTTTCTCGAACTTTGATATTTTTGGAAATATAACTTTAAACTATGTTAGTTACAGTTTTTTGCCATTTGCCAATTCCCATTCCCGCTCCAATTAGACCATAACAATTCCAATTCCAAACCTAATCTGGTATGCTATACATAGTGAAGATTATAGGTAGTCGTCATTCATGGCATACACATGGTAATTTTTTATTGTTTATACATCAAATAATGAAATGTCATGTGCATCCACTATGAATAGCATTATTCAATCCAGTAAACCTAGAGAGAGATTTACTATTAACCCCAAACAAAACCTAAATCAGCATTCAGCAGCCACGGCACGACCACCACTGGCCAACGGCCGTTTCACAGATTGCACTAGCAGTATGCAGCAGCTGAGTTGAATTTACAAAATAAAAATAGTAGTGTTTTTGGCCGGGTGCTTAGCCGATCGAACATGCATTTTGTTCTGGAATGTAGTTCAGAATAGCCTTTTAATATTGGGCACTATTTATTTATTTAAATTATATATCCAGTGGGCGTCCATTGGAAAGGTAAGGATTTACTTATATTATATATCCAAGTGAAAGATATTCCGAGTGGGGGCTCCATTGGAGAGGTAAGGATTAGAAAATTTTAAAGTTACAAAAGCTTCAATATAAAGCATAGTCTCTTGAACAAGCAAAGGCAATGCAACGCAACGCAATGTGTATCGTCAAAATTCTGGATTTATTGTCTTAGTATTATATGATGTGTCAAATCAAAACATCGTTTTAGATTACATTAAAACATTTTTTAAGAATGGCTTTGTATGTAAGTCCCACAATTTCTTTATGTTTCTTTATCATTTGATGTTTAACCGATCTTTTTTTATATCTTATCCATTAGCTATATCTATCTTTACTAAACACCGACTTGATATTTATTGTGTTGATTAATACTATGGTTATTGATATTCATGATTCAATTTTTCAATTTTCATAGATAAAAATATGGAAGTGAAAATCATATGCATCTTTATAGATTTATCCTTGAAGAAGATATGAAAAATAGATTAATCTGATGTGTAGCCGTGTCATGAACCAGGCCAACCCTGAAATTCGATTTTGCCAAGCCGATCCTATTAATTTAACAAAAGGCCGACTGTACTCAGTAATTAAAGTAAATGCTAACTCTTCGAGATTAATGGACTCTACATTGAGGACAAGTTTGTTTTCCAAATTTCAATGCATACTTTTATTTTGCTCTTTATTTTTTCAAAATAAATAAAGAAAAAATAAAGTAAAATAAACGGCCATGGTGCTAGTATGACTCTCGAGTCTTCTCTTCAAGGGTGCCAACTTATGAGGAACTTTGCCATATGGCTTTACTCCAAAATTGGTTCTTTTAAGATTAAGCCCCTGTTTCGTGGAGAATAAAATCATGTTTTTAGTAAATTTTTATAGAAGTTGAAGAAATGTGTGTTAAAAAGTTCTGGGATACATAAGATATGTAATTGAAATTAATTGTTGATTTTGATTTAGATTAAAATTTAATTTTTAATTGGAACCAAACAGGGGCTAAAATAAACCAGTACAAAAAAGTCGTGGGCCACTCCAAAAATAATCGTAATTTTAATTGACCTCTATTCAAGAATGTGCGTGTGAGAGAGTTCCGTACGTCCAGAAAAGGAGTGAACTGTATTACACATATTTAGAAAAGGAATAAACAATTAACTGTATACATATTAGAAATTGTATTGATTAGACATTAATGCATGAATTATTGCATAAAATATAAAGAACATTATATTTTGGAGTGAAAAATCTAAAAGATGCATTATTTAGGGACATGGGCACACACCACCAATTATCTTATTGCTCCCATTGAAAAGGAATACCTTTTCTTCTGAATTTGACACCACCAGTTGGTAAATAGGATACACAGAATTTTACAGGACACACTCTCCACCACTATGCTTTGATATGGAATGAGAATTTGACACATAAAAAGGCATAGAACCAGCACTTCTACTTTTTTCTTTAGTTTTTGCCAGAAAAGAAGATATTCCATATATATGATGCTGTCACGGGATGAAGAGAGAGGATCGGGTTGGTTCGAATCAATGAATTTGTAGCTATAACAGCTGGCTGACTATCGTGATGCTGAAAAAGTTAAAACGTTTTCAATTTGAACACGTTTTGAAAATTGAAGTTCTTAAAAAGTTTTTAAAAATATTGTGGATGACGATCCATATAAGGACATGGGAAAGTTAGGCTGCGGTTAGTTTGACGTTTTCGGGCTATTTTCCATTTTCTGTTTTCGAAAACGCGGAAAACTCGTTTAGTCCGTCATTTTCGAAAATGTATTTTAAAAGACGAGTTAAAATTTATAACTGAAAACACAAAACAACTTTTTATCATTTTGAGTGTTTTCAGTTATAAATTCCCAGTACGCGAAAAAGTCCAAAACGCGCCGTTTTCAGGAAAAATTAAAAATTGTTTTAAAACCGAAAATGGACAATGGAAAATTAAACCAACCACAGCCTTAACGTTTGCAATTTGAATACCTTTTGAAATTGATATCATTAAAATGTTCCGAAAATTTAAAAAATAATTATTTATATACTGATTGTGCTATTCATTGAGGAATAGGAATTTTGTTGTTATCAATCATCAAATAAGCACTTCATAATGGACATTATTTTTACCATTTCATGAAATAAATTAACAAATTATGATTATTTTGTCAATGATGCTATAAATAAAATTTAGTTAACTAATTTTGCAAAAAACTATAAAAACAAATGGTATATATTGGGAATTAAATTAAAAGTTTAGTGGGAAAAGATGAATTTATTTCCCAATGAAATAAAGAAAATATGATTTAATTAGCTGAGTGGAGCAAATAATTGTTCCTATAAGTTGGGATTAAAATGACTTTTTATTTTTATTTTTATTTTCCTTATAAATTTAGAACTGTCGTCACCATCCATGCATGAAATCTTTCCCCCTTTCCTTTGTCTGTAGTATAATGATATCAGATAGACAACAATATTTGGAGATTGACAATACCTCATTGTACAATAAAGCAGGAACAAAAATTTGATACAATGAATGTAACATCCACTTTTTCACCTCCATAAAAGGAGGACAAAAAAATACATATAAAGGATTGTTATAATTTTAATTTTGTTCGAAATATAAATAAACATTGCCAAATTTATGTTCATTATTAGCAACGAAAGAAAACTGTATTCTTTGTAAACCTTCTAAAGTGTATGTTATCATTATTCATGCAATTAGTCGTAACATAAATCAACCATTTAAATGTTTGAACTAGTTCATCTTAAAAATTTAAATAGTTAAAGACGCCTCATATGCATTTACTCAAATTTGTTTCAACGCACTCCCTCCACATGCACATGAAATTCAATTTTTGTTTAAAAGTTCGACGAGTGTAACATAATTTTTTAAAAATAGGCCATAACATATATTGAAACTAGATCTTTTGCCTACTCTAGCTAATATAATGTTTATTATCTCGTCGAGAAACATAATTGTTAGATATGAGAACAAAATATTTATATTTTATTATTTTGCATGCTAAAAGTATTTTACGAGTTTATAGAACCTTTCTAAACACGTCGTGTTTCGTAAGTTTTCATGCAGCAGCTTCCTTAAAATATTTCCTAAATTTTTTTCAATAATAAATCTTTAAAAGTGTGTGCCAATTAGTACAACACGTGGTAAAGGAAAAACAAAGTAAGCATTGAAATCATTTCCTTTGTCCAAAAAGAAACTTGGAAAATAACGTTTTATATTTAATAAAGAAGTCAAAAATGATTTTCTTCAATTAATAATTCTGTACTGCATATCGCCTAGCTAAGCTACAAACACAGTTGGCTGCCTACATTAATTCCCTAGTAGGATTCTTGGAGCTAGATCATGTGTCGTTGCATAAACCATTTCTTGTGCAATCTACTTTGAAATCTTTCCTCTGCATGTGAGCCAATCATTAATTATCCCAAACAACAAGAGCATTTCTCCTCCTCCTCCTCCTCCTCCTCCTCCTCCTCCTTCTTCTTCTCCTTCTTCATTTCACTCTGTGCGTTTCTTTTCTCGAATGAAATGATGCCTCTTGAGCCAGAAATTAGTGGAGGTGCAGCTACTGCTCTAGTCTGCAATGGAACCAATAATATTTCTGTGCACGTTGAGCCATCTGGTTCAACCAGCAATGTAAGCCCATGTTCAGATGATCAAATACCAGAACAAAATCATGCTACTACAGTTAGATTTTCTGTTCTACGTGAATCCTTACGGCCCATCACCCTTAAGGTACGTAGTATTCCACTATTATTGTTAATCATCACATCTAAAAAGTTGAACTATAGAGAAGAGACGAGCATATTGATCTAAATTGTGTCTTCAACACGCAATTTTCAAGTTTAAGCTATTAGAGAGGTGACAACTATTTCATGATATGACTCAAATTAATCCCAGGACATTTGTTCTAATAAACGAGGTTTGGTCTTTCTTTTCTATTCGTAATTTTGTCATAATTTTTGTGCAGTTTGAAGAAGTGTCATACACCATTGAGTCACGAAATAATGGAGGACATTGCTTTCCTTCACTTCAATCCAAGGTCAAACGTAATATACTCAATGGTGTTAGTGGTGTTGTTCGACCTGGCGAACTTCTGTCCATGCTCGGCCCGTCAGGGAGTGGCAAAACCACTCTTCTAACAGCCCTAGCAGGCCGGTTACCGGGAAATATCTCCGGTTCGATTACATACAATGGACTCCCTTTTTCGAGCTCGATTAAGAGAAAAACCGGGTTCGTTACACAGGATGATATCCTTTATCCCCACCTGACGGTTTTTGAAACCCTAAAGTATGCTGCTTTGTTGAGGCTACCAAATAAGCTCACTAGAAAAGAGAAAATTGAACATGTTGAATTTATTATCATGGAACTACGATTGACAACTTGTCGAAATAGTATGATTGGTGGGACTCAATTTAGGGGAATATCAGGGGGGGAGAGAAAAAGGGTTAGTATTGGGCAAGAAATGCTAGTGAATCCAAGCCTTTTGTTATTGGATGAGCCCACCTCCGGGCTGGACTCCACCGCAGCTCGACGAATTGTAGCCACACTCAGGCGGCTGGCATGCGGTGGCCGGACAGTCATCACAACCATTCATCAGCCTTCTTGTAGTTTGTACATGATGTTTGATAAGGTGATAGTGTTATCAGAAGGGTATCCAATTTACAGTGGCAGTATCCATAAAGTGATGGACTATTTTTCCTCAATTGGGTACAAGCCCTGGTTTGATTTCATGAATCCTGCTGATTTTCTTCTGGATCTTGCTAATGGTACGAAATATTCTTCTTAATACCTATTTTTGTTAATCACTCTACAAAAATAACTACATTTTAATAATATTTTATTGTCAGAGTTTGTAGAAATACGAGTTTATACTAATAATCTTATTCTTGCCAGCTAAAAAGCTAAGATTTTAGGATAATTTTGGTTCTTGAAACCTCTGATTCTACCCCCGATAAACTTGTAATAAAGTTTTGATATGACGTAGAATATATTCTACTTTATTGGACACTAGAAATGAAAATATCTTACCTAATCTTCTGCTAATGCTAATCAGTCCTTTCGGTAAATGTGTTTTGCTGATAATATTAATGAATAATGATCATCTTCTTACCCCGCCCAACTCCACCCTACCCTATCCCGGATTGCTTCATATGATTTTGAATAGCCTAACATGGTCCCTCGAAAGTAATCCATAATAAAGCAAAGCAAAGACAAATAATAACCTATATGCATCACACACGTATCTAAAGTTAAACTATTCGTCTGCCCTCACCTTTTATTTTTTGAGCTTTGACTAATTAAAGTTCCAACTTTCAATTAAGCTTTTACTTTTCTTGGTCCCAGTATATCTGCTATTGTTTCAGATATCTAAATAATAAAAAGTACATTTATTTCTGAATACTTCCTTTGATAATATTCAATAATACAAATGCATATATCTATATTTTGCATTCGGGAAAATGATTGAAATATCCCAGTGTTATGGAGTCTTGAGATTCTATCTTAAAAATTTTAACTCTTATATATTGTTGTTTTGATTTTTAAGTGATGAGAAATTTTACGTCAACAGGTGTCAATCTTGAGACAAGGCAGGATAATCAAATGGAGTTTCATGGAAGCCATGATGAGCATAATTCAACAAAACAATTCCTTATATCATCTTACGAAAAGAACCTGCTTCCAATTCTTAAAGAAGAAATTCAAAGAGCTTCTCAAGATGAAATTCGTCCTGGAAAATCATTGTCATCAAGAAGTATATATCAAAATCTTCTGCCCCTATGCAATGCATTTGCCTAAAATTTTTAAAGTGACCTTTTGCTGGCGTAGAGCTGCATTAAATTATTATATTCCTTTTTATGGGATAATTAAAATTTCATTTCTCTTGATAATTATCAGGTTCTGAAAGTCAATGGACAAACAGTTGGTGGTTGCAATTCAATGTGTTATTAAGCAGAGGACTAAAGGAAAGAAAACATGAGTCATTTGCACGCCTAAGAATTTTCCAAGTGCTGTCTGTCTCAATTATTTCTGGACTTTTATGGTGGCATTCAGATACTAATTATATACAGGATCAGGTAAATTTACTGTACCTCAAATTGGCCTATTTTAGTTATCTTCGTGGGACTGCTATTTTTTATTTCAATTTTTTGTTAAAAAAAAAAAGGGGTGGAAGAAGCTATATATAACTGATAAATATAAAAAGGTAAAAATGGCATAAACAATTCATAGAAAGTTCGAAAATATCATAGAAATTACGAACATTTAAAAAAAAAATGAATTTAAAGTTAACATGTATAAATTTACCATTAGGGCTCGGGTTTAGCTCGGCTCAATTGACAATTCTAGTTAACCGTTACTTGAGATTATCAATATATAGTGTTCATTCACATTCTTTAAAAATTTAACAATTGAAGTAATTCATATGAAGTTCAAGTTCTTAGAAAACGAAAAAAATTATTTGCCTAATCTTCAACAAATTAACTTATCACATATATGCCCATTTCAGCTTTAAATAAATTCGTCGTACATGCATAATTTTTATAAATGGGATGATGAGATAAAATTCAACTCTTTTGTCTAACCAAATAACATTTTGAACTATCTAATTTAAAAGTGTAAACTTTTACAAACATGACATATATTTTAGTTATTTACATTATTCAACGTGTTTCCTTGCGTGTATGTCAAATTTATTTTTCAATCAAGTACATGACACCTTCATATTTCTTATAAATGATGATTACGAGACTTAAGCTCATGTCCCTAATCATTTTCACACCATATTCTACCTACCTCATCTAAAACTAAATTTTTAGAGATGGTAACATATTTATTTAAATTTAATCTTCAAGAAAATATTGGACAGGTGGGATTGCTTTTTTTCTTTTCAATATTCTGGGGCTTCTTCCCTCTCTTCAATGCTGTTTTCACCTTCCCACAAGAAAGGCCAATGCTCACAAGAGAACTCTCCTCGGGCATGTACCGTCTCTCATCATATTACTTTGCAAGAATCGCAGGCGACTTACCGATGGAGCTTGTACTCCCTACCATATTCATTACAATCACATACTGGATGAGCGGCCTCAAACCATCGTTTATAACTTTCCTGCTAACCCTTTCCATGATTCTCTTCAACGTTCTAGTTTCTCAGGGCCTCGGCCTTGCCCTTGGTGCAGTTTTAATGGACCTAAAGCAGGCGACAACCTTGTCTTCTGTAATGATTCTAGTGTTTTTACTTGCCAGTGGATATTACATTCAAAATATGCCACCTTTCATTAACTGGTTAAAATATTTTTCTTTTTGCCATTACTGTTATAAGTTTCTTGTAGTTGTGCAGTACTCCAAGAATGAGGTTTATGAATGTGGCTTGGGAGGCAAAGAGTGCAGGGTTCAAGATTTTCCAGCCATAAAGAATCTTGGTATTGATAATATGGTGTTGGATATGGCTGCTTTGATTGTAATGTTGGTGGGGTATAGGGTTTTGGCTTATGTAGCTTTAAGGTTAGGGCAAACTCACTGACTGAAATTGAAGTTAAAAGGGTCAGATCTTGATCTTGTAATTAATTATTTTGCCTCGAGAAATTGATTAATTTGTTGCTACTTAAAAATAAGCAGATTTTTTTTTGGATATTTGATTATCGACAAAGAATCTTTCTAATTTCATTGTTAATTTAATTTAATTACTGTTCTATTGATCGGATGGAGTTGGACCATCTCTTTGCCTACTTGCACTGGATATTTGACAAATTACTTTAAATTTATCCCTTGTTTGGTGCCCATTATTTTTAAAATATATTTTTCTCTATTTTATTTTTAACCATACATTCTTCACTAAAATAATACTGAATGCGAATGCAAAATTTTTTCTTATTTTTTAACTTCATATTCTCTATTGAAACACTATTCCAAAATACATTTTTGTGGAAAAAATAGCTCATTTATAACTGAGAGGGATTCAACGTATTTAAGATAAAATAGCTCAAATATATATACTTCAGTGTGTGTGTACAAATAAAATAACTCATTTGTACCGAAAGGGAAAGAGGCACAATTATTCATATTGAAAATTCAAATAATATAGAAAGCTATAAATATAATATTATTGAATATTATTCGAACGTTTAGACTCAATTACACCTAGAGGTATATAATGCAAAATTATCAATAAAAAGAAAACAAGTCATTAATTATTGTTCTAGAAATTTAATCCAATTAAACTCTAAGTACTCCTCAATCAATATAGACCAAAAGCAATAAAGTAAATAAACACCAAATATGGTAACAGTGGAAAATCAATTGAATAACTCTTCATGGGGATCAAAAACCTTCGGCAAACTTTACCAAAATGATCCACTAGAAAAAATAACTTACAGTTAATCCAGACACGACTAAATCCTAGTAGACTTTGACCACGCACCGATAAATCATTGAAAAACCTCTTCAATTGTACAACCTGCACTTTCCAAAATTGTGGACTTCTTTTCCCTCCATGTGGATCACTAAGGTAGAAACTCATTTTGGAACACCTGGAACTCCAACCGTCTCTTCCCAACTTCAGAACTTTGGAAGCTTATTTGTGAACGTAAATGTTTTTGGTGTTTAATCTTTTAATTTTTTTTTATTTTTTTTTTGACAAGAGAACAATGGAATCAATGTTTAATCTTTGTACAATATTCTCTTTAATGAAATAAAGGCACAATCAATAATACATGACATTTGAAAATTTGGAATATGAAACTTTGATCTTGTGGCTGAATTAAGAGGTCTTTTAAATGTATAATTGATCTTCAATAATATGATCTTTATTATAAAATAATGATTCAACACACTTGGGAATGAAATTTGGCTTGGGTATATAATGTAGATAGTGTTAGAGATTCAATTGGGTTGAAACTTTGCAAAAATATGAACATGACTTTTTTTTTTGGATAAATACACTGCTTGTGCATCAGATTGGCACTTATTGAGCGATAAGATCTCAGCTCAAGTGTCAAGGAGATTGCTAGTAAGCAATCGAGTTTCTACTTTCAACCCTCAAGTGCTGCTTTGGCAGGTAGCGAGCAATTTTGCGACAACCTTTTCTCTTTGATCTATCTTTGACTTCTTTGACTCCTTGACCTATATTACCAAACCCTCGACTCTTTTACTTTAATTACAACTCAATAACTCAGATTTTAGATTTGAAAATTCCTAACTACAAATTTGGACCTAACACATTCTCATATTCCATGACAAAATCATTTATTTCAAAATTATAATCAACGTAATCTAACACTATTAGATAAAAGACTCAATTCCCAAACTTCAAGTCAATAACTTGACATACATATTTCCTGAAATATATAAAATCAACAATACCACATATAAAAGTAAGAGGAAACTTAAAATAAAGCATATAACCAACTTATATAAACAGCTCAAGCAAAACATGTGTACCACTAAAGCATGTAATATTGTGTGCAACAATAGCTTAGAAACTAAATATGATAAGTTGAGATATAGAATATCAATATCAATATTGACAAAATACTGAACACAATATTAATTTAAACATTCCATCCAAAAATGAATAAAAAAATATTTATGACTCCCTAAGTCAAATATCTAAGACAAAAATCAACTTCTCTTCCTAACTCATATACTACTCACTCTTCTGGAATAAATACTTATCCCTCATTTTATCACGAATAACAAAGAGAAACATGTAACATAGTCATAAATAAGAAAAAGAACAATGAGTAACAAACAATTTACATGGACAAACTACACAAAACACGTAAAACAAGTGAGAGGATTTTTTTATTTCTTTTTTATATAACTTTTTTCATGGATTTTTATATATAACATCAAGTAGTGAAAGCTCAAATCACATGAATATTATTTGCTTACTTATACAAGCATAATGCATAAACAGTAAACATTTTCCATATAACTTATTTTAAACTAATATGGAGTAAATTGTACAAGCAATCCATGTGTAAAAATTGTCACTAATCTCCTGTAAGTAATATTCGAAACCGTATATCAGTGAGAAAATACATGCGAAGGAATCACTAGCGAATGAATATTTTTCTCAAATTATGAAAGTCAAACAAAGTGTTACTAGGACATTTTAAACAAAAATCTCATTTAACTTTGTATAACTTTTGCATAACTTTTTCTTTCTCACCCTATCGTGAACATATATAATATTTTTGTATCTTATATATAAACATTTCTTCATTAAACTTACTAAATGACCTATGTAACGAGTTCTAAGCTGATAACTCTCAAGTCAAGTACTATGGGGCACCATGTCTTAAGATATTCTTCAAGCTTAATCACTCAATTCATAAAGGCTACAAAAAAGTATAAGATGTATCTCACTTTTTGTGTGAAATTCAAATATTTTGAAGTTAGAAACTTTTTTCTTTTCGGATAATGAACAAGACTTTAGATCAACTAGTTAAAGACTATTCCATATCTAAAGTCAACTCAACACACCATGATCGTCATCCTAAGTCTCACACACATGATCAAGCCCTACTACAGAGCTTAATGTGTGTAGTGCAAATGATACATGATATAATGTGTATAAAGTAATTGAAAATGAGCTCTAAACAAAGTTAATGAATTCTTTATTCAAAGTTTATAATTTTACTAGTACCTGATTACAAAATAAGATATCCAATGATATCACTTTGAAGTGTTAGAATCATTAAAAATCTATTTTCCTTCTTCTTTTTCGTTTTTATAATAAAAATAATAATGTATATCAAATAAAATAATGAAAAAATTTAGAGTACACGCATGAATATGTAGATACCATAAATAATGAAAATGCATACTCCTCAAGAACTATTCAATAAGGAGCACAAGTGCCATGCCAAGTATTATCTGTCAAAATTTTCTATTAAAAAAATCTATATCTATACATGATTGATTTTGATTCATAACCAAAAGGAACATTTTAATTCAACCTTCATTTTAATAGAATTTTGGTCTACACTAGACTATTTTACCATTGTTTGGACTAACTATTTTTAATCATGCTATGTTCTATACACCTTTGTTGACAAAAAAAGTACCACATGTCATCTTGTTATTGGACAGTTTTAAACAAAAACTATTTTTGTAGCTAATGAAATTTTGCCAACGCACCGTCTATCAACAATGATGTGAAAAAAGGATGTACAAATGCCAAAATCTAACTATTTTACCCTTTTTATGAACCATCGTCAACAGAATCAATAATTGCTATATATTTGCCCCCCGGGGCATAGCGCGGTAGTGCAAAGGATAGGAGTGATATTATCTCACGCCTTGCTAACAGCCACAGTATAGGGGTTCGATTTTTGAGACAAGAAATTGGATTACTTGGAAGCGCAGTGTACAGGCAGCTCCTGTTCCCTGGCCTGCTGGGGTACATTCAACAATTTATCTCCCTCACAAAACTTTAGGTGCGGGATAGTGGGGGCCCTCAAGGTTGGAGTTCAACCTTTTTAATAATTGCTATATATTTTATTGTTCACATACACTTATATAAGTTAATCAAAATATTATAAGAATTCTACTTCATTCACAATTTATTGTATTATTGTCCAAAAACTATAATCACAAAACTCGTGTGGTTTCATTTTCTCTTATTTTCACTATTTCATAATTAACTTCAAAGGTCTTAATTATAAATAAATCAAAATACAAAACGAAAACATATGAACACAAAAAACCAATTTCTTAACCTTTATTTTTCCGTCCTAAATCAATTCTTTAATATTGTATCAAAATAATAACATCCGTACAACACGAAAAAAAAATTCAGTTGAAGCATATAGATAAGAGACCAAAATAAAAGTAACGTTAATGAAGTTGATTCAGTTGACGAATATTGATGAATTGATCTTGTAGTTGAATCAAGATATATTTTAGGATGTGTTCATGATCTTCAATAATATGATATATAATATGAAATAATAATTCAACAAGCTTAGGGACAAAATTTGACTTGGGTATGTAAAATAGGTAGTGGTTGAGGTGGTTTAGGATTGGAAAACTGCTGAAATTCATAATTTAGGGTTTCTGTATATATCAATGTAGCTCGAGTGTTGCATTTGTGCTTAGTGAGCGATAGGCCCACCGCTCGAGTGTAAGGTCGTGCCTAGTGAGTGGCCAATTGCCTACTTAGGTGCTTGAGCCCCTATAAGTGATTAGTGAGCGATTTTGCAAAGAGTTCTTCTCTTTGGTCCATGTTTAATATCTTTAATTCCTTCAACACTATATTACCAACCCTCAACTATTTTGACTTTAGTTACAACTTAATAATACATGATTTTGAACACGAGGATAGTCAATTACAATTTGGACCCAATAAACTCCCCATTAGGCATTCTGTGACAAAAATCATTTATTTCAAAATTAAATTCAAAACAAAATAATACTATTTATCCAAAGACTTAATTAATTCCCAAACTTCAACCCAATATCTTGTCATACCTATTTTTTGAAACACATGAAATCAACATAGTGCATATAAAACAAAGAGAAAACTGACAATTAAAATATATAACTAAGTTATATAAAACATCGCAAGTAAAACATGTGTCACATCAATGTATTTATATAATATTGTGTG